TAGGCACCTTTGGCGTGAATAAATACTCAAAAAACCTATATAAATGTTTTGAATATTCCCTACTAGAAACTACAATCGACAAAATGAAATTTCGAAAAGATTTCTTTATGTTCGATCCGGCAACATGGCCAACTGGCCAACGATGTGCAGCAAAATTTCAGTGGTTCTAAAAGTTTTTGTAAATATTGTAAAAAAGAAGTTACAAATGTTATAAAATGTGTGAAATGTGATGATAGCTTTCATCCCAGCTGCCTTACACAATCTGCAAAGCTGAAAAATAGCGTATGTGTACATGAGGCTAGATCAACAAGTCAGGCCCCTACAAGTGAGGTTAAGACACCCGAAACTGAAAACGAATCTCCTGCTGAGGTTCAGAATAAACTGCTGCTTCGCATTATTAAGGAAATGGAAAGTAGGTTTGAGTTACTCAATGAAAATAATGTTTTATTGAAAGAAAAAATTATTTCTTTGAACGAAAAACTTGCTATTTTGGAAACCAGGGAAAAAACGAGTCAACTGGCAACTCCGCAAATTCCCACGCTGGTCGGTTCGCAGGCTGATATGACCTCGTTATCAGCTGACGGATTAGCAAATTCCAGTGCTACCAACAGTGGGAAATTTAATAACCCTGGTGGAATTAATTATAATAATAGTAAACAAAAACAAAATTCGCATGATCCATCTCGTAATGCTGATAAAAATAAAAATGTTGCTAATAATAACGCGACCCAGCAAATTTTCACACAAAGATCAGTTGGAGTGGCAATTATGGAGGCTCAGACAAAGACAAAAATTGCCGAAATTCAAAAAATGAGTGATGATAACATCAATTCCGAGGATCACCACCATTACGTAGGTGACTGGCAGGATGTTAAAAAACCACAAAGAAGAAGACGTTTTGTAGTTGGAAACAACAACGAAGCTGCAACTGAAGTGAAGACAGTTCAAAAAACAGTTGCATTACATGTAACACGATTGCATAAGGACACAAAACCTGAAACCCTTAGAAATCTTTTGGCAACCTCTTTTCCAGAGGTCAAATGTGAAAGCCATATCTCAAGGCAACCGGATTTGTACAGTTCCTTTAAGGTAACAATTTGGCAAGATAGTTTATCTAAAGCTTGGCGTAAAGAAATATGGCCAGTAGGCGCTGTGGTTTCTAAATTTTTTTTTCAAGAGGAGGATGCCAACCAAGGAGCAATAGCTGGATAGTAGCAGCAGTGTAAAAAGTCCAAGTGTTTTGTTACAAAAAGTCTCCAATACTGAAGATGGAAGCATTTCAAATTGTATTGAACTAGTTGTTTACTACCAAAATGTACGAGGCCTTCGTACGAAAACTCACGATTTTTACACCAGTACCTTATCAGAGGATTATGATATTATTTCTTTAACAGAAACTTGGTTAAATGAGAACTTTGGTAGTCAGGAACTGTTCGACTCTCGATATAATATTATTAGAAGAGATCGTAACTCTCAAAAGTCTAGAGGAGGAGGAATCTTGCTTGTACTGAAAAAACATTTGGTTTTTGAACAAATTAACATAGACTGTGATGTAGAAGGGATCCTGGTGAAAGTTAAGTACAAAACTAATGTTTTTTATGTTTCTGTCGTATATTTTGTACCAAACACACCTTTAGATCAATATGAAAAGTATTTTAATTGTTTCGAGTTTTTAAATGTATCTGAGTCAAAAATACTAATATTGGGAGATTTCAACTTAGCAAATTTTATTAAAAATGATAACTCTAATTGTGATAAAGGTAATGCCTTGAATTTGTTTTTAAAAATGTATAATCTAGACCAGCTAAACTCAGTACCAAATTGTATTAATAGGATTTTAGATTTGGTTTCCTCAAACATGTTGCTCTCCCCAATTCATAAAACTGGCTACCCATTAGTAGGTGAGGATTCGTATCATCCATCTCTCACTTTTTCTTTGTTTTTAAAAAAGCACAAAGCGCAAAAGGGTCACAAGAAGACACACTTGTATGATTTTCCAAAGGCAAATTTCCTGGAACTATATCACTTATTGTCGGTCTGTAATTGGACGCCTGTTTTTCAATGCACGGATGTCGATGAATGTTTGAGAGCTTTTTATGATGTAATGTATTCATGCCTGGATGTGGCGGTACCAAAATATGCTGTTTCTGAGAACTGTGATATAAAATGTAAGTATCCTTTATGGTTTTCCTATAGGCTAGTCAAAAAAATTAAGCGTAAGAATCATTTGCATAAACTAGTTAAGAAAAATAAAGTTAGTAATGAAAAATTTAATGAGTACCTTCACCTTAGGAAGCAAATTAAAAAATATGTGAAAAAGGGATATGCTGAGTACCAAAAAAGTGTAGAAAGCAACTTAATAAATGATCCTAGTAGATTCTGGTCATTTGTTCGCAGTAAGAGAGGTCAGAATGTAATACCGGAAGAAGTTACATATGAAAACGCCATCTTTAATGATCCAGAGGATATTGCTGAAGCCTTTGCAAATTATTTTAAATCGGTGTATGAAAATGGTTCTATGCATTCACTAGATAATCTGAAGGGGGGCAATTTCGAATTTGAATGCATCTCTGAAAGTTTAGTGAAAGAAGGCATAAAGCTGCTTAAACCAAAAAGATCCACAGGTGTAGATGGTATTCCTAGCTATATATTTAAAGGGTATGCTGAACAGTTTGCACAACCGTTATCTTTCTTATTTAATTTGGCCATAAATTGCAATAAGTTTCCAGAAGAACTAAAAACTGCAGTTGTAGTACCAATTTTTAAAAAAAGATAAAATCAGTGATGTCAATAATTATCGAGCCATAAGTTTAATTAATACACTAGCAAAATTGTTTGAGTTGATATTGTACAATCAAATTAACAAATTGGTACAACCAGAAATCACAAATTTTCAGCATGGATTTCTTAAGGGACGCTCGACTACTACAAACCTGTGTGTTTTTTCCGAGTATGCTTCCATGGCAATCGAAAGTGGTAAACAACTAGATGTTATTTATACTGATTGCTCAAAAGCCTTTGATAAGGTGAACCATGAAATTCAATTGCATAAGCTTGTCAATTTGGGTTTTTCCGAAAGGGCATATACATTTATCAAGTCATACTTATTACAGCGGCCACAAAAAGTTAAAATTGGTAAATATTTCTCTAAAGAATACATCAGCACATCCGGCGTACCACAGGGCAGCAACCTTGGTCCCTTGCTTTTTTTATTGCATATAAATGGCGTGACCAATGTTTTAAAAGAGTCAACAGGACTTCTTTATGCTGATGATTTAAAGATTTTCAAAATAATATCAAATGAATCTGATTGTGCTCAGTTGCAGTCTGACATTGGGCTTTATGAAAACGGTATGTACCTCAACATAGACAAATGCAATGTAATGACATATACAAGGAAAATCAATTATGTTGTATATGATTATGAAATACAGAACAAAACACTTGACAGAAAATACAAAGTTAAAGATTTAGGGGTACTTTTTTCACCAAATCTTAAATTTAATGACCATTTTAGCTACGCCACTGGAAAAGCATATAAGTGTCTGGGATTTGTTACTCGTAACTCTGGAAATTTTAACACTTCAACCATAAAGTTGCTTTATAACTCACTGGTTAGGCCTCACATAGAGTATGCCTCAAATATTTGGAGCCCAACGGCAGCTTCTAATATTGATTTTATCGAAAGGGTGCAAAACCGATTTTTGAGGTATCTCTTTTACAGGGAAAATGGTACTTATCCTTACATGCTTTCATATAGGAGTATGCTCGAGGGTTTTAGTTATACAACCCTAGTTGATAGAAGGAATCAAAATGCAGTTTTGTTTGTGTTTTTTATTGTAAATGACTTAAACTATAATTATTGCAAGATTATTAATTTCATTAAATTCAATGTTCCTAAACGTAATCTAAGAATCCTTAATAAAAAAACATTCTTTGTAACTCAGGGAAGTATATCTCCACTAAATAATATGCTGGCACATTGTAATGTTTTGTCAGAGTCTAAAGATTTTGATATATTTAAAACTAATGCCAAAGAAATCAGGTTACTGTTTACTTGTTAATTATATAAGTGTTAAATGTTAAATGAGTTATGAATTGATTTTATACACACCTGGTCAATTATGTTGTTTGTGATAAATTAGTGTGATATATTTTATATGTACATCATGTCCTTTTTTACCTTTTGTTTTTTAATAATTTTTAATCTAGTTCTAGTTTGTTAAGTATTTTTTTTGAGACCCTAGTGTCTATTCTTTGCATATAATTACTGTTTTTCTATATCGTGTTTGTAAAGAATTGAATAAATTGAATAAATAAATAAATAAATAAATAAATAAATAAATGTTTATTTGCTTGGGGTAGCTTGGGCGACGCGACGGCGCGGCGTCGGCGCTGCAGTTTCACAGTAGTTTGTTCTCTTTGTCAGAAGTGGAGGCAAGTTTATACGTGTATATTTTCATGAAATAATTGTTTAAAATTTTTAAAAAATATCTCCTAAACGGCACTGGGGCATGTGTATTCCAAAGTATCTCAAATATAATAATAAATATAAATTAAATTTTACGTAGAATAATATTTAAATTATATTGATTTATTATAATATTATGAAACATTTTTGGAAACCTCGCCGCCTATGCTTCATAAAGAAAACGCCGACTGTTGATGGAGAATTATTTTTTGTGGTGGTTCAATTGAGAATAGATAAACCATACAGTCGTGAGCCTAAAAAGTGGGTCACCCGTTTTTTCCTATTGTAAAACGAGCTCATCAGCTATACCTACGCCAATGACAAGGATTGTCATATTTGACAAAAAATCCATTGTAGAGAAAAGACTGATTTACCAAAAATAGCGGCATATTAATAAAGGTAGACCTTAGAAACCACGAGATTTTTGTTGTACTACTTTTTTTTTCATCACAATGGTACCTAACTATCCAAAGTATTCAGCTGGACTAGGTACCTATTGCACATTTCAAGACTAGGCTGTTAAATAAGTTTACAAAAATAAACTAAAATAACTTTAACTCAAACCTGCAGGTATCACAGAAGATAGGAACTGAAAAAAAAATATACTATACTATATACTATATAATACCTAGGTATTCAACACTTAAACTTACAGATTTTTGCCAGAAAAAAATAGGAATAATAAATTAACATTAACAAACTTCTACGGTATTGGATAATGACTAATGAGATATATGAATTGCTATAATAAAGCTGAATTTTTCTACAAAGAAAGGTAAGCACCTAAACTCAAATCCATGAAAATTTACATACATCATAGAATTAGAATAGAAAAAGAAACTAACGCTTACTAGTTCAATTTCTTGACATCATTTGCCTTAAAAGTTCATTCCTTTCTTTTTGAATATCATTGTTTCTCTGTTTTGCTAGTCTCAATTTTTGCACCTCCTCTCATCTTTGATTTTCTATTTTCTGTATTTTTTTTTCGATGATCATACAGATGCTTGACTCTTTTTGCCTTAATGACTTTTGTCAGTTCTTTTTCAGATTTTTTCTCCACTTTTGGTTCCTGATTCTTCTTGTACAATACTTTAACGATTGTAATAAATTTAAATTAAATTTGGAATTTTTTAAAACTGGTTCCATTGAAGATATTGAGGACGTCAGGTTCATTGTTTTATCATTGAAAAAGATCTCATCCATAATTTCAAAATATTCCCATGTTATGGATGATTCCCCAGTAGTAGTCTTTTTTTTATCTTTATTGTCTTTCTAGGTTTTTTTATATTCCTGAATTTTCTGTCTAACAGATCTATTGTGACAATGTATCCTCTGTTTTGAAATTCTTTTAATATTTTTGACCAAATATCTTTATTTTTCATTTTCAAATTTCGGAATTGTTTATTTTTTTCCTTGTGTAAATTCAAAAGAAGTAATGTAACCTGTTTGGTCCATTTAAATTCAATTTTTGGATTGGTTTCAATATCTACAAACAGAATTTATGCAGTTAACTTATTACCCTACAGGAAGTTTTTTTTGTCTGAAAAAAGTCTTACCTGTACATGGTGACCACAATGATTGAAAGTCAGTACTTGTACTGGGAGAGTAGGGTCACAGCTGGCACCAAAACAAGTATTTTGTTTATTTTCTATGTCTACAAATTATGGAAAAACTTAATTTAGTATAAAGCAATATATGAGCTGTAAACATACCACACTGATTATTTGATTTTTGTTGGCATCCTTGTGAATCAACACTGTCCATCGGAGAATAGTTTCTTTTGGTGAGACTTGCAAAATATTTATCAGAAAAGTCTGAATCTAAAATATATTATTGTATCAATAATATAAATGGAATAAAAATCTTACCATTCTGAAGCCGATAATGGAATTATCCATTACCAACAACTGTATAAAAATTATCTTTGAAATCATAGGTGATCTCCAAGTTTTCACCCAATTTCACGGCTAAACGCTAACTTGGAAAAAACGAATATTTTCAAAATTGAAATTCTAATTTATTTATTTAATAGTAGATTATACCATGAGTCAATAATGATAGCTATTATTTCCGAGGAATATTTATAGTAGGAGAGCCGGCAATATTAACGGGTATGTGATCATTGCAATGGATAATTTTCACATAAAAGAATAGCTCATAGTTACCTTTAAACTAAATGGATGGGTGGCCTCGATTCTCATGGCCGCAACCCTTTGATGGCTGGGCGTAAACTACCCCTCTTTTTCCAAAGGAACAATGTTATCGTTGCAATAGCTGAAAATTGGAAGATATATTCTTTAATATGTCTTCTCAAATATATATAGGGTGGCCTCGATTTTGATGGCCGGAAATAATGGCAACCCTTATCGAAAGTCGAGAGCACGCGTTATTTTGCTTGCTAAATACAAATTTTTGAAAGTGATAGCCTTCAAAGTCACTTTTAAAGTTAAAAGAGGACTCTGTAAAGAGGATTTTGCATACGTCTGTAGGTCTTAGACAAAAAAACACACATGAAATTGTGTTAATAAAGTGTTTGCCGCATATGATGAGAACCCCCTACACCGCAAGGTACTTCTTATTTGTTGCGCTTATGGTTCTTGAAGTATCTTTTTATAAAACAACTTTACGGCCATGAGAATCCATTTGGTTTAAAGATTACTATAAACTATTGTTTTATGTAGAAATTATCCATTGCAACGATCACATACTCATTAGTATTGCCGGCTCTTGGACTATTACGAACTGAGCCGCGTTAGCGGCGAGGGAGCAGCATTCCGAGGGAATAATAGCCATTATTGCGAGAAGTATACTCTTCTTTATTTACGACAAATTAATTTATTTGAGATTTTCAATAGCAATTTACATCCATCTCAATATAAATCCACAAGCACTACACGTTTGACACTGACACTTTTGGGGAATAATGACCATTAATCCCGCTACTCTTCATTATTCCCTGGGGGTGACATTAGCCGTAAATAAACAATTATACTAACCAATGAGGCAATAAACTTCTTTGTTCACCTTAAACTTGACACTTGACATAAAAGACGGTTAATACATCGAACTGTTTACGGATGGAAAAAATGGCGTCTGCTCCAGGAGCGATGCGAAGTGATCATCGCGTTCATCAGAAAACTGATGATCGCTCAAGTAGCGCTACGTCCTGATGAACGGCACCATTGTCATCTAGCTATTTAGGAAAGGAGGGCCCGGTATTCAAACTTATCAATTTAATTGACGATTCGATCGGATGTTTATTGCAATTCAGCAATAAATTTATATAAATAGTGGGCCAAGCCGAGGAACAGATAGACTTGAACCAGTGTTAATACCGCTACCCTGGGAACACCCCTCTGGAGTCAAGTCTCCCCAGAGCAAGTAACGCCACCCTGGGAAAGCCCCTCTGGGAAACTGCATGGTCATCCAGTGCAAGTACCGCCACCCTGGAAAAGCCCCTCTAGATGAAGATTAGCACCAGCCAAATACTGATAAATCGGAAAATGATTTTATTTTTCCCATGAGAAGACACAAAAAACGACTCAGGAATGCACAACCACTTACAAACAGCAACTTTGTTGGCGGAGACCGAAAAGTATTGCTCTATCTGTATAAAGTAAAAAGCGAATGTGATGGAAATTCAATACTTCGTTATATTAAATCAAAAGATGGTTTTGAAAATCTTCTAGCTACTGTCAGAGAACTCCCCACAGATCAAAACAAATTGAAATGTTTTGTAGTGACAGTACCAGTACAGAAAAAGGACACCATGTACGACCCAGACTTCTGGCAGAGCTTCGTTGGAGTGAAGCGGTTGGATTTTGAGAAGCACAGAGCTTTTTTGAACACAGCAGGTGGGTGATTTTTTAGATGGGACTTAAACAAAGTGCCATTATTAAAAGGCTGTGAACAAGGTATCAAATCTAACTATAATGCATCTCAATGTACAATGTCTAAAAAACAAAATTTTGGAAATTGAATCTATTAATTATAAGTAGGACATAATAGCTTTGTTTTGGTTCGAAATTTGGAACGGTTTTGGGATTGCGCAGAATTGCTTGCGCACAAAAATAATAGAAGACTGTTCTAATACTAGTTCTGAACCGATCCGGAACCAAAAAAACTAAAACACGCCGCGAACACAAAATTCTAAAACAGTTCTTCCTTCAAAACAAGAACTGAGAGAACCGTTCTAGAACAATCCTGAACTGTTCTTAAATAGTTTTAGATAAACCAAAACACTGTCAACACAGTTCGATTACGATTCTAAAAAAACGAAAACGGGTTTTATAATGCGCGCATGTGCAGGATGATTCCGAAACAAAGCTAATATATACTCCTGGACAAAATTATCGCACCACTGCACATGAGCATCACCATTAGCAGTGGTGCGATAATTTTGTCCAGGAGTATATGTTTCAGTGAACACTGGTGAAAACCTCATGAAGCCAGCATTCTAATAATTCCTCACTATAATTTTCTTTCCTTCTTTTGTCGAAGAGAGCATGCTCAAGGAGGTGTGGCAATTCTTGTAAAACAAAGCTTATCACATAAATTTAGGGCTAGAGACGAGATTACAAAACTAAATTCTGAAATGCATAGTGAAATAGGTATGTGCGATTCAATCTACTGAATTAAAGCCTATAGTCGTTATTACAGACCCCCTCAGGGGATTTTAACGCATTTTCAAGTATCTTTGAAGAAGTTTTACAAACTGTAAACCCATTAAAATCTAAAGTGCTACTAAATGGGGACTTTAACATCAACTTTGATCGTAGGGGTGATGAGAAAGCACAACAGTTGACAGACCTAATAAATTCTTATGGTCTTGAAATAATGATAGACTGCTAATTTCAGCCCGCCGAAATAGGGAAACGAATGCTACTGAGCTGCGACAATCCTTATTACAGGCAACAGGTACCTCTGTAGCATTACAGACAGTAAGAAATCGAGTACGTCAATACAATCCGCGTTCTAGACGTCCTTGGCGGCCCCCTTAACGTTCCCCACAACGGCAAGTCCAACGATATCGGTGGAGCAGAATTTTCGAAAATTGGACACTCGATCAATGGCGGCGTGTTCTTTTCACCAACGAAATGAGAAGAGACCTAGCTCCAGATAACAATAGAAGGCGTGTTTGGAGGGAACCTTGTAATGGAGAACGCCTTTAATTCGCTGTAGACCGTGTCCAACAACGTAAAGGTTCCATTATGTTTTGGGCTGGAGCGCCAGGACCAGGAGAAATTTATGAAGAACCTATGAAGTACGAAAGCAAAAAACTTTTTAAACACCTAACAAAACTGTTCAAAAAATGCTATGATAGACATGAAGTACGAGAAGAGTGGTTTTACATTTAATAAAGATTCGAATTTTAATCCAAAAACTTTTCTTTAATAAAGATGTAAGAAAAGAGACATAAACAAATGCCACACGTACAGAGGCATTACAGTGGCAGATAGGTTAATCAGGGTGTATGAAAAAGTTACAAAAACCAAATTGGAAACCAACCAAATTGAAAAGTACAATGATAGTGAGAAAAAAAGAAACAGGCTGGTTTTAGAGCAGGAACAGTAGACCATTTATTTAGTTTGACTCATCGAATGATAGAAAATAAACTATGGTATGACCAAGAACTTCATTTACTCTTTGTGGATCTATGAAAGCATATGAGAAATATCTCACAAAAGCTAGAAGAAGCACTAGAAAAGACCATTATTAACTTGAAACTAATAAAGCTAAATGTCCATAACTAAATACAAGCACCTTCTACAGAATTCCTCCAATTTGAAACGAATGAAGAATGGAGTTCCGAATAGCTTGGAATTCGCCAATTACAGGATAGTGACATCAAATAATCCGGCAAATCCGGACCAACCTGGAATTAAATATCACCCAAGAGCTTAACTTCCAAGCCCCACAGCGAGAATCCGACTCTCTGTTTTAGTCGAAAGTATGTTAACTGAAACGAACCTGGGAGAATGCAGAAGGTAAAGTGATCAAAACTCAATTAGTCATGCCTAGAACAAAGATAAAGTTTGTTCAAGTTTTAAAAGAAGCTCACAATGGGACGGAGTTCATTTGGGAGTAAATCAGACTTTGGACAAGATTCGTGACAAATTCTACTGGGTGAACTATTAGCAGGATGTCAAGGCATGTCCGACAATGAGCGACATGCGCAGCAAGTCGAGGTCTTTCAGGACTAGACATAGCCGGTATATTCCCTGCGATGTGCAGTGACAATATATTTATCCTGGTTGCCATGGATTATTCCAGCAAGAGGACAGGGTCCTTATTCTTGATATAAAGGAGCAGCGTTCCCAGGAGAACGAATGTTCCTGGGAACGCTGCTCCCCTGTTTCAAGGATAAGGATCCTGAAGTTTTTGCTATTTCAAACAGTTGCAAATATCCTCGCCAACAATGTTTGGAATCCCATTCGAACTGCATTCGGATCAAGGGCGCAACTTCGGGCGAAAGTTAGCAACACATTGGAAGTAAGATCTTTAGGATGCACCTCTGCTTGTGCTGCTATATTACTGCTTTGTCCTGCTTCAAACTGCAACACAGCAACACCCATGTAAATATATCGATTTCCATTTTGGTTTCTAACTTCACCATTGGAAACACATTGGAAGCAGGCTCGCTGAAATAGGTAAATGCTTGTGCCGCTGTGGTCTTGCCTCATCCTGCTTCAAATCTGACCCCGGCAACACTTACTATTTTGGAGATATAGGATTTTCATTATGGTTTAGAACTTCGCGGCCTTGGCTTGGCAACACATTGGAAGCAGGATCACTCCAAAATGTTCCTACTTGCGTTGCTATGGTCTTGCCTCAAACTGCTAATCACCCCAGCAGCACCTAAAATTTTTGAGATACACACTGGTAGCATTACAAGAGTCTAGTCCTAGGAATATGGCAAGCTGCGCGAGATGGAGACACTATTGCCAAATGTATCGTAATGAGCGCTTATCTCTGTATGTTGGTATTTTCGACGAAAAGATCTAATCCCAGCTAACTCAAACTAACCCGTACTTTTG